ACCCCAACTAACTTTCATTTGTCTCCATAAACCCAATAATACCATTCACATTTACTTCTAAACTCATTCTTAGTTATACTTTGTACTTTGTATACAGTATTTTAAAAATACCCCATCTGCCCTTTTAACCCCGGATATAATTCTAGTGTTAGATTGTATAGGATTATTGCGATCTCTAATAAATCCCTAAAATCTTCTCTGGATCGTGCCCCAGATCCCCAAATTATTCTCTCTTGGCCTCTTCCTCTAGTATAACTCGATGAAGTTCTCACTTATTTGCTAGCATATTTTTTTTACTTGTCCTTGCCCATATTCGCCGCGCGCAGCAGATATGTGTGTGTCTAAATATATATATATAATATATTAATATATATATATATATATTATATATATATATATATATATATATATATATATTATATATATTATATATATATATATATATAATATATATATATATAATATATATATATATATATATTAATAATATATTATATATTATATATATATATATAAAACTTAAATTTAGCAATTTTGTTAAGCTATGCTGCCACTCGCGATATCAAAATTATGTTTATTATGTAAGAGCAAATTCTGGCCACACCGCCATGAGGCATCACACTCACGTTGTGCTGGGACTACGTGCCCTAACAATGAATCTAAGGGGCAGCATGTCCTGCTACAACGGCGAGTATTGTGCAGTCGCGACTGTAGTTAGCACTCCGCTTATTATCTATATTCATTTGCCGGGTATTTTGGGTAATTTCCAGCGTACACATCAAGCAGTTTTTGGTAGTTTCACATGTATGGGGCTGATAATGTATTTGATTCAGGCGTATATGTTCAAAATGGGTTTGAAAGTAAACGGGTTAGCCGGGTATTTGGGGTGTTTATGGGTTTAGATGAAAGTTAGTGGGTCTTAAATGAGAATCAGATTTTGTACCTAAAAGCGAAAATCTCTCTACCTCTTCCCCCAAGTCCTTTCTCTGCCCGAACCCAAACCCGTTCATCTTCTCTCCTACAAGTCCCCGCTCCTTCTCCAAACCCTAACCATCCCTTTCCTTACCCAAACTCTATATAATCATATCGGTTGATCTGAGCTTCGATCGATCGATCGATCGACCGATCTCGATCTCTTTTTTATTTATTTATAATGGAGGCGAAATCAAGGGTCGCCGTCGTGGTTCTCGGCGACATCGGACGCAGCCCTAGGATGCAATACCACGCCCTTTCCCTCGCTCAACAGGTAACATCAACAGATCTCTGCCCTTTTTTATCTAAATCAGTTCCTCATTCTAAAAATTCTATTCTTTCTGTTTTTTTTTCTGGTTAAAATTTGTTCAGGTCCATGCTGAGGTGGACATTGTTGCAAATGGAGGTATGTTTATATCTTTCATGCGTCGAAGTTTCAAAATTCTTTTTTATTAGTTCTAGATATACATTACAATTTAGCTGATTGAATTACTTGGGAGTGAATTTTAGAAAAATATCTAAAATTCTAGAAAATTTAGACATTCTTGTTACTTTGTTATATGAACATCAAACCCCTTTACTAGCTAGCTAGATATATCAGAAAATTAGTTTCACCATATATCATATCAAGTTTACTTAAATAGAAGAATTTTTCAAAACAGACCCATTTCAATTTTTTTTTCTTAAAACCGACCCGTTTTTTTTTTATTTATCAAAACCGACCCGATTTTGTAATTAGCAGCTTAATCACTATCCTAAACAGTCGGGGTTGGCAACCCCGACTATTTAGGAAGGTGTTAAACCCTAATTAGAAGCCTTAAACCCTAAAAATTAAGGTCCTAAATAGTCGGGGTTGCCAACCCCGACTGTTTAGGAAGGTGATTAAGCTGTTAATTACAAAATCGGGTCGGTTTTGATAAATAAAAAAAAACGGGTCGGTTTTAAGAAAAAAAATTTGGAGTGGGTCTGTTTTGAAAAATTCTTCTACTTAAATACCTTAGAATTTAAAAGTTCCTTGACGGATGTCTCAGTAATGGCGTTTTGCATGTGTGCTTGTCGCCAAAATAAGGGCTGTAACGAAGCAATGCTAACATCCAGGTTTACATAATTACATGCTCCTTGTGAACCGCTTATAAAATATTTGGACTTTGGGAACCAAATAGTATACCATAGGAATGGTTAGGATGTCGTTATATAGTTACCAAGTAGATAAAGTGAAATAAAAAGAGTTATGCCACCCTTTCTGGTTATAGTTCAATTGTTATAATCTATGTTAGGTTGGTTACAACTTGGAGTCCTAGAGGAATGTCAATTAAATTATAGACAACAGAGAAAATCGGGGAATTAGAAGAGAAGAGTTGAGTCTTCTTGTAGAAGAAATCTTGTAATGTGCACTTTGAAGTTGTTCGGTTTGCTGGACTTGCAAGTGTAATAACAGTTACGATTCCAAAATGATATTTAAAGTTGTTTTCGTAGCTATTGGTTTTGTTGTCATCTTAGAATTTTTGCTTTCCAATAAATCATTTGCTGTCCATTTGATTCAAAGTCATTTTTAAAAAGGCAACTCTTGTTGCACCTGCAGTTGCAAAAAGAACAATATACATGCAGCAAAACAAATAGTTCCATTATAATTATTTGTATTTTCATGAATTTCAACCAGTTGTAGTTATAGTTTTCCATGAATCAACCAGTGCATCAACAGTTTTCATAGTTAGATTAGTCTTCATTATTGTGGTCGTGTGGAGGTTGAGAGAAAATCTGAGAAACTAATGAAATGCTGATAATTATCTTGTCCAATGATCTTTTGTTTTTAGGCGGATACTTAGTCTCAAAGTAAAGGTTTAACTTGTTTCATATTGATTGGAGCCTTTATATGAAGGAAAAACTCTCTTTAACATAAGACACTATGAAGGACAAAATACCTTTCCCTATCGTCCAGTACTATTATTTGAAATGGATTGGACCTATAAAATTGGTGCTAAGTTTAAACCTAGTTCAAAGTAATTTGGATTATAATTCTGATTTTAGTAACCAAAAGTTGTAAGGTGGAAGTAGAATGCAACATGAACGGTTGGGTAGGTTTGAATAATGGAATTAGTGTACCCTAAAGGAAGAAAATTTCTAAAGATGTTACTTTAGTAAATACATATTGAATATGGCGAAGAAGATTGAATGAGAATGTTACTATATTCTTTGTTGAAGTTAGATTAGACTTTAAAGGTGTCGTTCAAGTGGAAGTAAGACTTTGAACATTGTTTTTTAAAACTCTTTTCTTAGTCTCCACTAAATGTCACTTGAAAGCTTTTAAGCATTCCTTTTGTGATGGCGATTATTTTTGTTACATATATGCACATCCCTTGTGCATAAAACCAAAAAAATTAATTAAGTAAACTTTGACTACTCATGCATGTATGCATGTCCCTTGTGCATAACTGAAGAAATAATATTATCACAAAGAAGGGAGAGAGATGTAAAATTTATTACTGGTCTCATGTTGAGGGTGTATTGTGCACAACACAATCTTCCCATATCAGTCAAGCTATTAATGTATGACTAACAAATAAATGTGTGAATTAAAAATTACATTATTAATGATTGACTATATTGACTGATATATGTTCATGCTTATCTTAATACACGGGTTCAATCTAGTTAATCGTTGATACAAATCACCAACCTTTAATTTGCTCTAACCATTTAATACACTAACAAACTAATAAACTAATCTCCACATATATTAGTTTGAATAAAAAAAGAAAATAAATAAGAAAGAGAAATGAAGAAAGGGAAAAGCAGCCAAAAAAAGCATATATCCTTAGCAACTCAACCGCCACAAACTCAACTCACTAGCTAAATCCTCAATCATCTAAACTTTCCCACTAATCCATCAACTAACCAATCGATTATCCCCACTAAATCCTCAATCACTCGCTCATTCTCACATTTTTTTCAACCCTTATAAGGCTAAGTTCAGCAAACAAAATGCGCCCTGACAAAAAGTTACCAACTAAAAGAACAAAGCAAGAAGAAAATTTGTGTAGAGACCTCCGTTCATCCCAATTCTCATCCACCATAAAGAAAATAACAACAAACGAAGTCTCAGCAATCTGACCAACTTGATCCCCGAAGTAAGGGCCTAAAGTTTACAAATCAATCAAGAACAACTTTGAAGTGCAAATAAACCCAAAATAATCCAAATAGTGTTATGAATGCGCGACGCGAGATGCGGGGCGCAAAGTCTCTTTACCGCACATGTGCAAGGCGCAATGTGATGTGCTCACCCGAGTTTAGCGAGACGCACACGCTACAAAATTTTTCAAGATAGATAATCAATCATTAAAGAAGTGCTTTTGAATTTTCACATAAAAAACATGTCAAGATAGATAATATTTACTACCAAATAACAAAATAAGGTATTAATTAATTTTGCTAACACAGTAACACACCCAACATAGTAGTAAAATTCATAATTTTCCAAATCAAAAGTCAAATTAAGACTAATTTGAAGTAAAATCAAATAGTAAACTAGAATGAGTTGGGGTTCTCAATCTGTCTAGTAAAATAGGCTATGGGTTTATTTCTCTTTTTGAGATGTGGGTTATTAGGTATAAAGACCCGATTGAAATGTTAAAGAATATAATAAACGAATGCCTTGTATGTGTCTTGTGCGAAGCGCGCGGCACTTGCAAGGTGCAAAGAGGTGCTGTCTCATTAGATGTAGGGCGCTTTGCCACCAACCCGCATCGTAGGACGCACGAGGCACAATGAGAAGGGCGCCTTTGAAAACACTAGATCCAAATGACTTGGCGTTTTAAATTAAAAAAGTTGCAAATCACAAATCAACTAGAAATAGCTTGTAGTTTTGGCCAAAATAGCTCTGATCTATAAAAATGTTGAAAACATACAAAACTATGAATAAGCCTACAAAGACTTCAAATTTATAAATCAAATCCCAAAATTGCAAGCACAAATATTATAAGATTGCCAATCAAACCAAAAAAAATTGTGGACCATTAAGTCCTTAAACTAGAAATTAAAATAACTTTTTTTAGCACTACGTTCTTAAACTCGAACTAAAACGAAACGTCAAGTCAAATGTCAAAATCGGTCCAAAATGTCTTAAAAGTTAAAACTAAAAATTGAAAAAATTTAATTCTCAAAATTACAGATCACAATGTCTTTAAACAAAAAATCAAATTGAGATCTCAAAATTTCGGAAAAAATGTCCTTAAACTTAAATTAATATTAAATCTTGTATGTTACAGAAAAATTTAAAACTAAAAAGAAAATCAAATTTAAAGTTTTGGATCAAGATGTCTTTAAACTATAGTCAAATTTTAAACTCTAATTTTTTTATTGAAGCATCTATAAACTAAAGTCAAATTAAAAAAAATCTCAAATTGACATCATAATTAAAAAGCAGGAATAAAAAATATATAATGAATGCCTTTGACATGAAATAATTTTTTTTTTTGTAGAATGTTAAGCGGAGGTTCATTTGGTTTAGCCAAACAGTATTTAACAATAGTGCCTATTGGAAACATAAGAACCCACAAATAATAAACTCCTATCCATCATTGTAGAGGGAATTTGTTTATCTATCCCCAAATATTTATCATAAAGTTTGACTTTTTGGGAGAGCTTACAGCAGGATACTGTCAGTTTTTTGTATCCTTTATTTTGAGGAGGAGCAACCTCTAACTGCTTGTGCTTGTAGATTTTATTGCTGTTTCTCTTAGCATATTGCTACTTATCCATTTCAACGTTCTCCTTTGTGTTGCATTTTATCAAATGTAGATCATATTGTAATTTGTAAAGATGTAAAGATCATGATCTTTACATTTAAAATATTGTATTAGTTGATAGAATGGGTTGAATATCCTTACATAAACTTATTAAGTGCTTTTCCAAATGTTAAGTCCTCACTATCTATATATTACTGGAACACCTTCAAATGTTCTTAGCTAGGTTTATGCAAATTTCTCAGGATCAACTTATACTATTAAATGACCAATTTTTCACTGTCCTTGCTTAAGCTTCCTTTTGTATGAAAGGAGTAAGCGCCCAGAAAAAAATAACATCATTAACAAAGATGTTATTCTGACTTTTTCTGTGGAAGCAGGTAATGATCCTCATATTGCTATTAAAGAAAATCAGTCTATCCATCTTCACACCATGGTAAAGTTTGTCTTTGCTTTGCTTTTAGTGTAATTTGCATCTTTATATACCAGCATATGGAGTCTTCAACTTATAACTTTTAACTAATTTTTTTAGAGGTCAGTGGAGTTCCAAGGATTATCAAAGATATCAAGGGTTTTGGCACTTCTATTCAAGGCAGCAACTCAGTTTGTTATTTTAGTTTGGTTTCTTTGTTTCAAGATTCCTCGCCCAGATGTTTTTCTTGTCCAGGTGAGGCCAGTCTCAATGTATACATGTATGTAATTATTGTTCTTCATGTTAATGTAACACGCAAAAAGAGTTTTGACCGCCTTGCCATTCATGATACAATCCTACATCAAGTGCATGTTTTTCTCCGACTAGATCCTTTTGAGCTTGGTGGAAAAGACTTCAAGACTGTTGACAATTTGACTCCTATTAGTCTTTTTAGTTTTAAGTGTCAATTTAATCATAATCAAAGTTATGCATTTTATTCTGATTTTGATAGTAGTTGGAATTGTTTATGAGTGCATGTAAAGTTTTCCACTAGTGTTAAGATCGTCATCATTGTTTAACTTGTAATACCCCAACCCTTGAGAGGGTGATGTGATTAGTATTGATAGATTTGATAGGAATACTCATACCACCAAGATGCATCTTCTTTTCGGGTACCCAACTCTTAGAAATTCCAAAGTTAAGCGTACTTGGCCTGGAGAAATTTTAGGATGGGTGACCCCCTGGGAAGTTTTTCAGGGAGCGTGTGAGTGAGGACAAAACGCGCTGAAAAGACATGTGGTGGTTTGTGAGGTCAGTCCATCAGATCTAGTAGCGTACTGACTCCGGGATTCCGGGGCTGGGCGTTACAAATGGTATCAGAGCAAAGCCAACCGGAATTGTGAGAGCTAAGTGCTATCAAGGTTTTAAATGTCGGTTATCGGGGATTTATCGGACGGTGAAAATTCTTATCGGATAGCGGAAATCGGGGATATATCGGGGATAAATAGTATTTATCGGAGTAATATACTAGCAAATAATAAACAAACATAAGCTTGACAAATAATATAATGTTAGTCAAAATGGAATAATAAACTAGCAAATAATAAGATAACATCAAGAATGAAGAACCATCTACGCATCTACATAATTATTGTTTAATCATGAGATTTATAAACTAACTTAATAAGTTGATATTTAGTAGTTATGAGCCATTATCAATATCCATAAACAAACATAAGCTAATCACCAATCAACCAAGTTCCAAAATCAACAAATAGTTCATAATTTGTAAACATTCAAAGAGCAAATCTAAAAGAAAGTAAAAGCTCCCAAATCCTACTTATCGGCCGATAAAGCCGATATTTAGAGCCTACTTATCGGCCGATAAGTACCTTTATCGTCGATAACTCGCCGATAAACCTCAAAAAACGATAACCGATTAAAAATCCTACTTATCCTAGCGGAAAGCTCTCAAATCCGATAACTCGGCGATAATATCGGATTATCGGCCGATATTTAAAACCATGAGTGCTATGCGGCGCAAAGTGCTACGTCGAGAGGGTGGGAACCACCTCTAGAATCTCACACGGATGGTACGGTCTTGGATGATATGATTTTGCGAAACGAGGACGTTGCGAGTTTAAGTGAGGGAGTTTGTAATACCCCAACCCTTGAGAGGGTGATGTGATTAGTATTGATAGATTTGATAGGAATACTCATACCACCAAGATGCATCTTCTTTCCGGGTACTCAATTCTTAGAAACTCCAAAGTTAAGCGTGCTTGGCCTGGAGAAATTCTAGGATAGGTGACCCCCTGGGAAGTTTTCCAGGGAGCGCGTGAGTGAGGACAAAACGTGCTGAAAAGACATGTGGTGGTTTGTGAGGCTAGTCCATCAGATCTAGTAGCGTACCGACTCCGGGATTCCGGGGCGGGGCGTTACATAACTCACCTCAACTAATGCTTGTCATACCCAGGCTAGAGTGTAATTAAGCAAACCCATAGGTCAATGCAAGTAAATGCTTGAGGTACTCTTAGATGTTGGGACAGTGGTGGTCAGAAAACATAAGGAAGGGTTTATTGATGGCTATAGATTCAATGTTTGCTTTGCATATTTTAAACTAGGTATTTTTTCCTAGAAAGAGAGGGAGTGTGTGTTGAGCCTCTCTGAAGAGGGTACCATGTTTTATCTTCAAGAACACTCAGCATTTTTTTAAGATATAACGCTAGTGTTGCTACCTATGGTAGTCACAAAAGTAAACTGTAAAGTTCAGGAAATGTGCATGTTTTTGTTGGTATGCAGTGTCCCCCTTGAAATATTTAATTAAAAAAACAAGTAGTAGGTACATTTCGTAATAGTTATCTCATCAGAGTTAAATTGAGTAAGGTAACTAGCTTTTATAAAACCTCTTTGACTCTTTTGATTCATCTCACTCTCTGTTGGGATGAATTTTTGGAGCAACTTGTATATTTTGCAATTTGCATGTGATAGTTGATCCTGAGTATTAGAGATAATTGTATGGTTGATAGGTCAAAGCGTGGAGTTCAAATGTCTACAAATCTTTATCACTATTAAGTTGAATTGTACAATTCCTCTATAGATGTTTATCTTCAAAAGTTGAATAGCCATTTTGATAATCGTAATATGGGGTTACTTTAATGTGTGGCATGTCATATGGAGTTACTTTCATGTCTGGCATGTCTTGAGCCAAGTAATTCATTCTCTTCATTTGATAAGAGAGAATTGATTTGATTGGCCGAGTTTTATCCTGAAGATTTTTCTAAAATAGATCGCATGGAGCTTAGCAATCAACTGGAGAACTACATTTCTTATGTTGGTACTCATCATGATTTTTGTGAAATTGAAGGAATTGGTAACGTTGCTAAGAAGTTGGTTGAATGGATATGGATACTTTATATTCTTTGGTGTACAAGCTGGTGAAGTTGGCATTAATCTTGCCTGTTTTAATGGCAAGTGTTGAAAGAATATTTTCGGCAATGAAAATTATTAAGAGAAACTGAATGGGAGATGAATATATGACTGATTATCTGGCGCCTTAGATTGAAAAATATATGTTTTGTGACATTGATAAGGAAGATGTCACGAAACGATTTCAAGAAATGAAGGCAAGAAAAATGCTATTGTAAACACAGTATTATAATTGGAAATATAGTTTTGATAGTCTAATTATGTAATGATGTTAAGATGCTAATCGATTGCGTTAGATATTTGTACTTTATCATGTTTAATTATTCTTGGAATCCCTGAATTTCCTGGCTCCGTCACCGAGTCCACGTGTATTAAAATCTGTAAAGTTATCTCACTACTTACCTAACTTTTATATGCAGAATCCACCATCTGTTCCCACATTAGCTGCTGTGAAACTATCAAGTTGGCTTAGACAGTCTTCTTTTGTCATTGATTGGCACAATTTTGGATATACTCTGCTCAGTTTGTCTCACGGAAGAAGTCATATGCTAGTAAAAGTTTATCGCTGGTAATATGTAGTTTTCTATATGAATTTCTGTATGTCATATTTTCTTGTGGTATCAAATTGTGTTGGCTTCTCATAACTTGGAAGATGTTATAGGTTTGAGAAATTTTTTGGGAGGATGGCAACTGGGTCATTGTGTGTCACAAAGGCGATGCAACATGAGCTTGACCAGAATTGGGGAATCAAGTGAGGGATCTTATTTCTTGCTTCCATATCTTATCTTACACATTGGAAATGTCTTTAGTTTTTTTTTATTGTGTTCATGTATTTCTTTCTCTGTATTGTCAGAGCAGTAGTCCTCTATGATCAGCCTCCAGAGTTCTTCCATCCTGCCTCATTGAAGGAGAAACATGAGGTGGACCACCAGGATATTTCTTCCAATCTTCCCAGTTTGTATATTCACAAATATTATCTTGAAACATGCCATAGTTGTTTTGCAGGCTAGAGAATAATATATGTCAACCAAATGGTATTCGGGATTGTGTTAGCACAGGTAAGTTCAACTGATTCTATGATTAACTGCTACTTATTTTGAAAACCAAGGATCATCTTTCCTCCAGAAAGTCAATAGATGTCTGAGATTAAGAAGCAAAACATAATTTTCAAGCCAGTCTGATCATGGTGGTGAATGCTTCTTTTTCTCCTTTCAGGATTTGAAGGCCAAGACACTTGTAGTACTGGGAGTTCGAGCCATACTATATTTACTGTACAGATTAGTGATGGCGTTTCTTTAAAGGCAAACAGGCCTGCGCTTGTCGTTAGCAGTACTAGCTGGTATATAATATTTGTCGGGGCACTTTACACGTCAAAAAAAATTCTCTCTTCCAATCACTTGAAAGTTAGATTTAAGCGCTTTTGTAGTTTTTTTCTACCTTTTTTGTCTAGTTATATTTATGCATTATTCTGATACATAAGTCCAATTTTGTCAATTGTGGGAGAAAGGGTACCTACAATCATTTACTACTGGCAATTATTTAAATTGGCGAGGCATGGAAGGCACTTCACTATACCCCGGGTCATTGTTTCTCAATGTATAAGTTAGCATGAGAGATGATGGGCATGTCGTCCAAATCAGCTTAGGTTGGCATGAAATAGGATTAGACTATTGTAAATGTTTGGATAGCAATTTCTTCAAGTTTCTTTGGCAACAATGTAGATTATTAGAAGCCGTCATGAAATGTCATCAACATATGAAGATTAGTTGTTTATGTAATTGCCTCCACACCAGTGAGCTATGAAACATCATTTTCAGTTCAAGTTTCAAGCTGTGTGCTTTTCAACTTGTATAATTTGTTGGATAGAACTTTGTGAATAAGACCCAAAAGATTCCTACTCTCGACCTGTCTAATTTGTTCTTGCATTTATTGATCATGTATGTTAAGTTGCACACTTTCCTACTTATAATTATTGTTTTGCAAAATGCAAGGGAATATTATGTCAAAAAAAGTTCTTCAATGTAGGTGTGAGATGTAACCAGTACTGTTGTATATCAAATTCTTAAGACATTCCTTTTGGAGTTAGAAATACCCTCTTCAAGAGTTTTGGTTGAATAGTAGCACTGCACCCACATCTGATAAGTTACCTTAAAAAAGCGCTGACGTGCATGATGGATGTAAACCATGTATAAACCATGATTCACAACTAAAAAACTTGCATTTATTAATCGAACGTATCTATTACTTATGTCATGTTTTATTTTCTAAATCTCCCAAATTTCAACAAGCACGTTCAATGTTGTGGAAAATAACTGCAGTAGAGAATTTTTCTTCATATATGCAATCAGTCCTCTCTTAACATCTCTCTTTAATCTGTCATTTTCCTATTTCACATCCACTTAGTCAATTTTTTATCTTATGTCTGCTCCTATTTTCGAAGATCTCATCTTAGCCTCAAAGTTCGAGTCCCCTATTCTCACTGAGACATCCTCTTGGTGTCTTTGACCATACACTATCTCGATTAGTTCTCATGACTAAAGAAATACAATAAGAGAGATTCCAAGGTGGTATTTAGATATCAAACTAAGTTGTGTTTTTTATTCATGGTAAGCTGACTCGATGCAACTTAAATATCTTTCAGGACTCCAGATGAAGATTTTAGCATACTTCTCGAAGCAGCTGTTATGTATGATAGACGTGTTGCTGCAGCATTAAAGGAGGATGATTTGATTGATGAAGAAAAGTACTGGAGGGATATCCATAAGGGACAGCAGTACTTGTATCCTAGATTGTTATTCATCATCACTGGTATTGCTTATAACCATTGTTCTACTTAACTGATGCCAAATATAGTAATCCAATGATAATTTCCTGTTAACATCTTGAAGGAAAAGGACCTGAAAGAAGTAAATATGAAGAACAAATAAAGAAGTTAAAACTAAGACGTGTGGCATTCCGAACAATGTGGCTATCAGCTGAGGATTATCCGCTATTACTTGGTAAGTATTGGCTTTTGATGTATTCTCAACCTTTTCAATATTAGTACTGCATAATTCTATATTTGCTTTTGCAGGATCAGCAGATTTAGGTGTGTCCTTACACACTTCCTCATCTGGTTTGGACCTTCCAATGAAGGTGTCATGATTTTTTTTCTCTAACATAGATCGCCTTTATCCACAACATGGTAAAAATCTGATCATATTGACTGCTATTAGGTCGTTGATATGTTTGGATGCGGGCTTCCTGTTTGTGCTGCTTCCTTCTCATGGTAAGATCCTGCTCAAGTTCATGATTTTCTTTTGGTACATTTGTAAATGCATTCCACTCATGAATTTGCTTCTGTTTTTATTTGCTTTAAATTGAAGCATCAAGGAACTTGTAAAGGTGGAAAAGAATGGCCTTCTGTTTTCATCGTCATCAGAGCTTGCTGATGAATTTATGGTAATTTTCTCTGCTGGATGATTCAGCAGGTCATACTTATAAGATTTAGGTTATCTCATTCATATTGTTATTTATTATAAGTTCAGAGTTCACAAAAATGCTAGAGTATTGGAAATTATTTTATTGAATTTTTTTAAAATTATCCAATCACATTCGTATGACTTGGAAATTTCCCCTGCTAATTGGATACAGATGCTATTCAAAGGTTTTCCAGATAACTGCAATGCCCTGAAGTCCTTAAGAGATGGGGCTTTATCAACAGGATCCTCGAAATGGTCTACCGAGTGGGAAACATATGCACTGCCGCTTATAAGAGAGGTATTCTAAGTTAACTTTGACAAAAATACAAAAAGAAGTTTATCTATTACAGAAACACTAATTACATAGAAATTAATCTGAACAATGATAGTGATCTGCAACTTCCAGGAGCAATTGGGTCAATTATCCATTTACAGAATAGAATTCTACACTCTTAAGGCTACATTTGTTTTTCATCTTTGGACTAGACAGTATTATATTCCCTGGACTATATACCAGGATTGTACTATCCTGGGACTTTTTTAGCTCAATCCGATGTTTGTTTTCGCTAGACTAACATTTGGACTAATTTAAATAATTCATATTAGTGTTTGTTTTTAGGAGGATTATGATTGTTTGGACTAATACCATAACCAGACTGACTTTTTCGCCCTCAAATCATTTAATATTCTATTAGTGCATCTGTTTTGGGGGAATTTTCAAACTTTAGGAATGGCCTTGTCCCTTTGCAAAATCAGTCCTTTTGGGGATCAATCTATGTATGCATGGATGTCTTTTCTTATGATGAACTACATGCAAGATCGGTCCTCTCTTGTGTCTTTTCTCCTATTTCTCGAAATCAGTGTTTTCTACAATCAATCATCCTAAAAGAACAAATGTAATTATGATCGAAAAAGAAAAGAACAAATTTAATACCTATACACATTAACTATTAATTTCACCTGAATTGTGCTTGCAATATAGTAACAAGTATCTATGCTTTTTAATTCAGAACAGATTGCTATCAGTACAACTTGCACATGCTACAATAAAAGGTGAAGTATCAACTGTAAAGCAAATGCATGAGGTTGTGTCTGTTTTTATTGGCTGTTCGCAAAGGCACGGAAAAGGTGATCGCCAAATGTATTCGTTTTCTATTGGCTGCTTGCCATAAAATGAAGTGTGGAAAAAAAACAAGGGAAGAGTTTTGCAGAGAAAAGGAAAATAATAGGTGTAAAATTTTGCCAAAATCTTAACACCACCTGATTATTAATACTGGGATTGCAAAGGTGGCGTGGGTTTACTTTTCTCCCCTTTTAGGGTATTAGTTAGGCCATCCATGTTTTTTTTTATAGTGAGTGTACTATTTTAAAATAATCCGGACTTATACTTTTAGCTTGTGTTTATTTTTTATCCGGTTTGGACTACTTTTTAGGACAGAATACTTAGTACCGAAAAGAGGGACTAAACTAAACCCACCTCAACCCCACCTTTACAATCCACGTATTAATCATCTAGGGGATTAAGATTTTTTTGACAAAAACAGCCTACCTTTTAAGTTCACCGATCTTTTTCTATGAATTTATTTTATTGGTCTCGTTTTCTTTTCACAATTTTTCCCCGCAAAATTTTTCTGCTAAAAGCACTACCCTTCTTCTATGTCGTCATTTTTCTCAAAGCAAAAAAAAAAAGGATGCTATTGCGCATCTCTTCCAATGGAGATGAAAGTCAACCATGAAAATATTCTTAGTTGTTCGAATGCTTCTCTGATGTCTTATGTTCGTGTGGTGCAGATCCAACAAGTCCTGAACTTGTATTTTCTTCTCATTTTTGCATTTGTAGACCTTTATTTTACTTGTCAAACCAGTTATACACAATGAAGCTTTCAGGAAGAAGCAAAAGGCTTTTGAATGATCCATGACTCGTCAAGAGCATTCATGTCTTTTACTTAGGGGGATTTTTTTTAATTGAATTACAATGTTTAAATAGATATTTTTAGTTTTTACTATTTTCATTTGTTAAATAAATATGGTTGTCTACTGTATCACAATAGGTATAGAATGACATATTTATTTAGAGGCCATGCCTAAGTATTGAATTTTGCCTAACAGATAAATAATACAATATTAGTTGATTTGAAGGCAAAAAGGTCATTCTAAGATATCAGTCCAATCGGTCATAATCCCCTAAAAGCAAACACTAATCTAGATTATTTTAAATTAGTCCGAGTGTTAATTCATGGGAAAACAAATATTGGACTGGAGTGAAATAGTCCCATGTACACAATCACATAACTATAGTACGGATGTTATAATACCCCTTACTTCTAGGTTAAAAAACAAATGTGTCCTTATTCCACACTAAAAATAGTCCCAGCGATATAAATAAACAAACATGTGCTAAAAAGGTGGGCCTGGACTATTTTAAAATAGTACCCTCACTAACAAAAAACAAACATGAAGAATACTAAAAACCAGTAGGAAGCTGGAGAATTTATGTCCAATATCACTTTATTGTGCTATTGGGGATATAATGCCATTTTTTGCTATTTCTAGGAACAAAGCATTCCTCTTTTCTTGTATAATTGCATTATTTTGAAATCTCAACAGATGAAAGAAGCTCATCCTTTTAATACAACTCCATGCACAAAACATGCTAATTTGCAACTATTGAGATTGTATAGTTGGGGTCGTAGATGAAATAGATCATAAAGGAGCTTTTCAAATATCATTGCAACTTGATATGGCGGCACCGCCAATAATATATATCAAAGGCTAATTGTTGAATTATCTTTCACAGCTTTAATTTTTTTAAACTGTTTCTGAAAATTTGTAGTATGATTAATTGATCGTTTGTAGCATTGGCCATTTGGCCCATTTCTAAGAAGTGAGTAGTTAATGTTTTCTTTTTCCAACTTCATATATGTATAGTTCTATTCGAATTTTCCTTGAATGATCAACATTCTCATTTCACTTTTGCCCATAAAAAGCTAGTGTTGCTCGTGGCTGTTTCTCGTTGATTTTTTACTAAGCTATAGACTTTGTTCTCATGGCTGCTAAAAAGTTTTTGCTATCTTCATTCCTAATTTATTAAGGTTTTAAAACCTTTCTCAACTTATAAAAAGTTTCCAAAATCACTCGAAAGTTTCCTTTGCTGCAGGTTGTTTGAGAGAAACATGGATGACATGATCAAGATTTGGAAAAAAAAAAATTCATGGGAAATATCTTAAAAGGCTTTGTTCACAGGCCACTTGGTGAGCCTGCATGTTGTTACCAGTAAATTGACATGTTGAAAGTGTACTTGGTGTGCTTACGTCATTAGGTTGATATGGATTTTGTTCTTAATTTTGGTTTTAAGTGTAAAGGATACTAACGTATCAGCGGCTCTAAATGTATACCGACTTATCGGCTCTATGACAAGTTGGCAGATACAATTGAGATTAAAGTAACATGTAATCATTTGAGGTTTCAGTTGATAATGTTATTGGTTAGTGTTGATTTTAGCTCTGTGAGAGACTAGATATGCGCGAGGGAATGAGATATTGTCGCCCTTTCTTTTTTCTTTTTTCAACTTTAAGATTTTTTTTTTAAAATTTCTTTATCTCAATGAATCTGATTATTGTTTGTGGACAAAAATATCTTGTTCAACTGCACTGAGTTGGTCGCAGCTGGGCTCGGTTTTAGATCTATTCATCATATGCTAGATATTGATGGGGGCATGTTCAGGTATCCCTAAATCTCGAGGATTTTAGGCTCCGCTTTTTCTAAAAGAGGAAGTTCTTTATGGCATGAGATTCAATTTTGGGTTAAATGGTGTGTTTCTGCTACTTTGTTTCAACTATGCATCTCTATATTTGCGCGTTCTCTTCAGTTTCATAGGTTCATTCAGCTCTTAAAACGCTCCGAGGATGAATTGGATTTATCGACCAAGTGGTGTTTAGAATTCAGTGTACGTGGGTTAATTGTATGTGCATGAAGGCCCAAGCTTTGACACTTGGATTTATCGACCAAGCCCGCAGGCTAGAGATTGAATAGGCTTGAAGACTAGGGTTAATTGTATGTGCATAAAGGCCCAAGCTTTGACACTTGGATTTATCGACCGAGCCCGCAGGCTAGAGATTGAATAGGCTTGAAGACTAGGCCTCAAATAGGCAGATTTTCAGGTTGAAATCAGGTCACTAACTTATTCTACAAAATAAAAAATTACTCTTTAACACTTACTTCTCGAAATAAATAATTTTAAAATTTTGACCTTTAACTCTTAGCTTACTATTTTATTCTAGAAAATGAAATTTTATTCCGTTTTTGTTGTCTTTAATTTGCCTTGTTATGTTTTAGGCCTCAAGCCCTCTTCAATTACTTAAACAATAAGAAGTAGAGAAATAACAATAATATCATACTCCTTTTAAAAGCACGAGTTCTAAAAAAGCTTTAATGTCAATATTACACTTCACTATTTTAATATTTTATTTAAGTCTTAATCTATCATAATCATAATTACATTATATCCTAATCTTATGTGAACTATCTATAGCTCAATAATTTTTTAAAAAAATTATTATTAAAATATATAAAATAGTTTTATGGTATTAGTTTGTTAAGATAAAGAAATTATACGTATTTAACTTACTATAATACATGAAGTATATAAAAAACCCTAATTTTTTTAAAGTAGCACAAAAACCCTTAAATTTATAAAAAACACATCCTAACGTTTCAAACCTTAAAACAACAAACATGAAATTAAAAAATTTAACAGCAACTTGCGAAGAATTTAAAATTTATAGTTAACACCCTCCATGTCTCAAATATATGAAAACACCCTTGAAATTTTAAATTACAAAAAAGCACCGTAAAATTCTTAAATTTCAAAATTTGCAAACAACATAGATGAATTCAATAGACTACCATAATGAACCTGAAAGTTTGTGATGTTTCAAAACTTACAACAATAAACATGAAATAAAGAAATTAACAACAACCTCCAAAGAATTCAAATTTTGCAATAAACATCCTCAATGTCTCAAAAATTATAGAAACATGCTCGAAAGTTTAAATTATAAAAAAACACTCTAAAATTATAAAGTTTAAAAATTTACAAACAACATAGATGAATTCAAGAGATTACCACCAGACACCTAAAAATTTAAAAATTTCCAAAATTCAAGGGATTACATACGAACAATCTTGCAATAAAAACTAAATTCAAGTCATTGATCAATTATACTATAAGATATAACAAGCCAAATAAGATGAGGACAATCACTATAATGGACAAAATGTATACACATGTTACTTATTTATAAGTAAAAAAATTAAAATTGACCTTTTCTTTTTCCTATACAGTGGCACGACTCTGTGTATAACTTTATCTGGGGACAAGCATGTAATAGTACTATTAGATTTCAAGATCTTTAAATATGAATGTAACATATTTCATCACTAAAATCCTTATTAAAGGTCATTAAACATAAAATTCGCCTCTTAAAATTGTTAGGGAGATGTGCATACTGTTATTATAAATTGTGTCAACAGTACATATTAACCCAAATATACAACTTACTGAAGAAATGAGAGAGTTGTAAGTAAACCAAACGAACATCCATATAGCATAATAAAAAAATATTATACTTTAATGCTAATATGCAGTGCTTACTCAGAACAAGTTGCTAAGATAAAATTATCTCCATCAATGCCCTTTATAAATGCAACATAAGTTCAAATTACTAATATATGCAATCATCGCAACATTCGAAAAGAGGTATTATCTTACAAGACCTACTCTAAAATTCACACAGTTAAACCTAAAAATGGTTTACTAATATACATACATGCTATTGCACCTATGATTCAAAAATATTTACAATAGAGCTGAGCCATGGTTCTATGCTTACTAAGGTTGCAATAAGAAGATGAATAGAAATGTTAATAAGAGTGTCTAAGTTGTAAATATCATAGAATCACCAATAACATAGTACCAAGGTTAATTAATATCCCTTCTTCATGAAATAAACATAACAAAATCAAATATTAACATTATAATCTAAGGTAAAATAATAATAAAAAGTATAGTTATTTAGTCTAAATCCTTGTGGAAAATGACATGGATAGAAAAAATGTAACATTATTTGATGCAATAGAAACTCTTATTGGATGCACAACAAAATAATTTATTACAAAGAAAAAAGGAGCAACTCCTAGCCTTATTTAAGTAATAAATTAGAAACATAAAAAATTAAGATATATGAAATTAATATGTATTCTCATTGAAACATAAAAATAATCAAAGTTCCCAGAAGTTTATTTTGAATATCGAAAATACATTCAACTTCTTTGTGAAGTAAGACGAGAAGACAAAAGATGAACGAGCCCAAGGAAAGATAACAACACAAGAAATATAGCTCGAGCGTGATGTTACAGTCAATATATACAATTAATGAAGACACTACTTTAAAATTGCATAGGAAAAAGATAAATGTGGAGAAGGATTGATCTCGACTTAATAAAAAAATAAAATCAAAGGAATAAAACATCTTTTTTAATATTTTATGGAATAATTTAATTTTTTGAGTAAAAGTTGGAATCTTTAAAAAAGATTTTCATGATTTCTCGATTCAAGTTTGGTTTAATGTCTGTCTAAATAACATGAAAATTTAAATTCGGTGTATTTCATTCAAATAAACATCAAATAAAATAAATAATCACAAAGCTAAAGTTTAGAGATATAAGTGAGCAAAAACTATCAAAGTAAAGCCAAAGAAAAAATTTTAGTAAGGAAATAGATCAATAATACTTCGTTATATTATTTAACCACACGCATTCCAAGTGCATAAAATCTAGTAATAATAATAATAAGGGCAAGGTAGTCCAGTTTTGGAGGAACTGCACCCGAGCACGGCCTAGGTTTTCCATTTATATAATGGTAATGCCATTTTTGTTACGGTCCTTACGGATGAAAACCACTTATATAATTAACCTGTCTTTTTTCTATATTTCCTTGAGCAAAACTTTGGATTTTGGAAATTGAATTTGATATTTTCCATGTGACTCCATCCTACTCCTGTTCCTCCCTTATCTTCTTGTAAGTACAAAAGGCGAGATTCTTCATGCACGCACGCATGTACACGCATCATTTTTCTTCTTCTTCTTCTTCTTCGTTTCTATACTTTTCTCTTTTAATTTGTACTACTTTGTATTAGATTTAGGAGAATCTCGTGTATTTTCCTCATTTTCCTATGATATATAACGTACATGTACTAGTATATACTCTGTAGTAGGAAAACGTAATCGCTTAATTATGGAGGGATTAGTGACGTATTGTACGCAACGTACCCGACAACAGTCTCTACAAACACCAAAAGCTTCTTCAATCAAGGAGTGATGCTAGTTGAATATAAACTATGTTAGTGGAGTTGTCATTATTATTATATATATTTGTTAAACAAACCCACATGCATGATGTAAACCTTTGTTAATTTGTTAACCAATAAATCCAGTTTATAGTATTTAAATGCAGTAATTAAATTAATGCCACCGTTGAGATCACGGACCAACACCCTCCCCCCTCAAGTGCTGACGCTAAAACCGAGGACATTTTTTGGTTATTTATGTTTGGTAGTGGATAAGGAAATGTGTACTGAAGACCTGGTTAATTTGTGTACCATAACGTATAAAGTAAAAAATATGTATAATAGTAATCTTAATTAATTAGTGGTGTACTATGTACAAAAAGTATCTGTAGCATGGAGACTACATTCCTTTTATAAAAAAAAACACAATAACAATATTTTAGAATGAAAAAGGGATTCAATTTAGCTATAATTTATGTATAGATATGTCACATAAATAAACAAAGAAGATTGCTATTTTGATTTTAATTGACCATTTTTCTAAAAGAATAGGAATTACAGGATACCAGTCTTAGGTATCACAAAGGCAAGTAGCGTATTACTAATGTATTTTGCAAAACTAACCCCAAAAAAGCTCCTACTTCATATCCATCTGTGGAATAGACGGGGGCATGAAAAAGTCGTTTGAAACTTCTTTGGGGTCCAAAATTAAAGGTCATTATGGTAAATATTTCCTGAGTAACGTTGCTTACTTTATTAATATTAAAATAGACATGTTCGATGAGGAGCAATTGTCAGTTGATAGATAATACCATGTTTTCATGTGTGATTGTTCAAAAGCGGACCAATAAATCCAAAAACTCGTTTGGTGGATCCTTAATTCCTTACATCTACTCCAAAAATCATAATCCTTGTCAAATAAACATCACTTCAGTTGGTGTACGTGTTTATTTAGAGATCTTGCTCTAGAGAAGTCCTCCTTTTAATTTATATATATTTTTACTTTATATGTTAGAGTTGGCCTCACGTTCATATATTAGAACGAAACTAAGGAAACACTTTCGCACTTGGACAAAAAAATACAAAAATTCATTTAGTCTTAAACAACATTCAAAAAAATGTAATAAATTATTCATCCCTTGATAATCTGGCCCATGC